ACTTTCCAACGTTTTATGGCCTCCTTGACACGTAACCTAGCACGATTAACTGATGTGAGAGATGAATTTAAAATAGATGACTTACTAACTTTACTCCAGATAAACTTGACAACATTTCAAGGAGTCATTACCAGCCATAACCCATCAGTTGCAACAATAAATTTCTGCTTAAGAAGCTTTAAATGATACTTTACTTGTGTACTGATAAAAACATACAATACAATTTTTTAATTCATTATTGAAGGATAAAAAAATCACAAAGTCATCTCGTTAAATAACGAAAAGGAATTTCTTGAATTTTTCCTTTTACCTGTCGCTTCCGAACAACTTTCCCATTCAAAATTTTCCTACCTGTCACACAAAGAACATATTTACACAAGAAAATACAAATACATCATAAATCAAATTGTTTAGTTAGGGTCGGCATATGGAATATTGCTAGCAAGTTTAACCTCAATATTTAGTTTACGAACTAGGATTAAAAGTATACCTCAGCGAGGCCATTCAGCATGCATTTCTATTTTTAAAATTTGTAGTCTGTGATTCAAATTCCAGGTTGTAGTTGTACTAGGTACTTCGAACATAAAACATACATGTGGATTATCTCTAACATGTAGATGTATGACATATTCTAAATGATTCACATACCTAACTTCTTCACTTTATCCGGTTTTTGGGATCTTGTAGTGAGTGATTTTGAGTAACTAAAATGGATTTTATTGGTGATTGTTCAAAATTTGGATTTGTAATTGCCACAACTGCAGCAGAATCTCCAATATTGGCCACACAAACTTGGTTTGAAAATACAATAATGACAGTTGCTGTTGTAGCAGCAGAACTGAGAAAACTGGTTGAGTTGTAGTCCAGTTGCCTATAAAAAATTAAAATTTGATGTGGCTGCATGTATGCATGTGCAACTTTTAAATTAAAGAGGCCTAACCACAATTTAACTGTGTGGTGATACATAAATTTCGCAGGAATAGTGCACTGTCCTTGCTTATGCCCTGATCAATTAAACTAATAAACATGATAAATTAGTATGTAAAAATTGGAGTCATCTCAATGCATCCTCAGGTTTAGTGTTAATAATGGCAAATATTTCGATTAAAACCTTTCATTTAAATCCAGATGCCCCATTCCGCGATAAAACTTGGGATTAGCATGTATTGCTAAAAACACATGTTCGCTCGTGTACTTAGATGCTTTGTGACCTTCATGACTGTCATAAACACCTATGATAGAATGGTATGTCCTGCCACCCGATTCACTGTTAAAAGCAGTAACAAAATCCTCCATTGACGTCTGCCCTCCTCTTTGCAAACGGGACACAAAAAATCCACTATTTTTATTCTTTCAACAGCGCAGCATGGTCTCAAAATATTATGCAGAGGAGGTTGTTGCTCATACGTCATGTGATGGTTCTTTCCCGTTTCACTTTAGCAGCAATTATCTCACTAATAATACCTGCATTTGACTCAAAAACATAAGAGTATCCAGGTAAAATATTAATAAACATAATACCTGCTGCACAATGAGCTACCGGTATACCCATACAGAAAAATCTAGGTTGTGACAAGGTTGCTCCCTGTTGTAAAACAGCAAGCATGTTACAAGGTTGTTACAAGCCATCACTTGGCTTGAAATAACAGTGGAATTGACATGTTTTCAATTATGTGGCAAAGTTGTGACAACACTTGTAACAAGGTTGTAACCACCTGGTTATGAATATACTTATCCAACGCAATGAATATAATTAACTGATGATAATTTTACTCTTGGTAATAACAAGAGGTTAACTCTTGGTAATAAAAATAGAGTATACAGTATGGATAAATGAGTGGGTCAGAAATATTCAATTATTGATAGTAATAGCATCTTTCTTTTTCATCTTGCGTCTTGCCGTAGAACACTCGTCATTGATTGCCTCTACTAATACAGACTTTGCAACAGAATATTTGGACTCTACAAACTCTACAAGGAAAGGATAGGTAAAAATAGAATATTCATAACAATAGTGAACTCACTTATACAAGCTGCAACTACATCTTCATCTAAAGCTTGATTCAATCTGCTGCCACAACAGCTTGAGGTAGCTAATACTGATTGAGTGAAAAATATTGATATTAAATTTCTCATCAGTTTGGTAGGAGATAATCCACTTGAGCTGATGGCTTCATCTAACTGCCTTTGTGCCAACAATATACCATAACCTAGAACAAGCTCAATCATAGTTGGCTGTACAGCAGAAAAGGTAAAATATTGTAATGGACATATACATGATTGTACTTTAGTCTTTGTATTTTGTGTTCACTCTAAAAGACAAATTATAGAAAGACTTAAAGCAAAATGGGTAAACCAGGGACATACATTTTTGTCAATTGTTTCAAATTCCATCTTTACAAATAATATTGTAGTTATTTTAGGTTATATACAGGAAATAACTAACTTTGAAACATTTTGGGTTAGGTAAGCCAGCACCTGGTGGCTGAAAAATAAAGACAAAAAATGTGGTGAACAAAGTTTTAACAAGTTATATCAACATACTGTTTGTTCAATGATGGGGAATTCAAAATCAATGGTAGGCTAAATACAAAATATTTTTATAATTATGTTATTTTATTGTAATTACTGATGCAGATTTAGATTTTGAGAAAGATTGCTCAGGTGTTGGTGATAACTACAACGAAACTAAATATTAATTTAATACAATATAATATACTGGTGAAGGTGATGGGGAAGACGTAATAGTTGTGTTACTAGGCTTATCATGCTATAATTAAATTAAAACTAAATAATAAATTTGTGTTTGTCCATGTACCTGATGCAATTCATATTTAATGTTGTTTTGTGATGACCTGGACAAATTGTTAGTCAGAACTGATTGTAAAAGAAATAACAAAATAGCATATAAGAACTTAGCTAAGAACTCACAAGTAATGTCATCTAACTGCCTCTTCAATTGACTAATCATTTCTTCCTGATGATACAATTTTGATTCCAAAACACTTTCATTAGTCTCCCTCTCATCATCAGCCATTGTACTAAATATTTCAGTTGCCCTTGCCTTAGTTGCATCTACCGTATAGGGGTTTTATTTTGTTGGTATAAAATTTTGCGAATTTGTTCAGACTTGCCATTTGTTGGTATAAATTTTTGTGAATCTTACCTTCTGTAGCCATTTTTCTAGTGTGCCACACCTTATTTGTGGAATTTAATTTCGCAAATTTAATGAAAACACGAAATTCACGAAATTTATTACCAGTGAAATATAACCCCTATACGGTATTTGAGCTTGCTTCACTTTCTTATAGTCTGACTTTAGCATTTTACTATTCATTTCAGATGTTGTTGAGTCCACAGTTTCATCACTAGTACCCCTATGCACATCACTACCAGGCGTCACTTCAACATCACTAGATACTTCAGCAAGAACTTCCTCTATCGTAATTTCAAAATTGATCAACTTGTCACATAGTGTCTTCAGATTCTGTCGGTTACCTAACAAATAACGCTTAAAATATATACAACTAAACCATACATGGTGGCTAAGGTAATTATACACAATAGCAGCTTGGAGTCAGCGGCAGTGGTGACTAAGAGGTGGGGTCAAACACAATCAATCCCCATTATATTTTAGGCGGCACATAAAACATTAAATACACAACAAACAAAACGCACTATGAACTTTAAGTATCTCAGCATCAAAGAACTTCTTACCCCACTTAACTCTAACCGTAGACACAGCCATGTCTCGGGATTTATCATCTACGCACACGCTATAAAGGAACGATACCAATTCTTCTTTGAGCCACCTAACTGAAGGAAGGTTTTCGATGGTGTCTTTGAAGGCATGAAGTTTCTAGGCAAGAGAAATCGCCAATTCACACTCGTTCACACTATAGAGTGAGAAAGAACCAAACCATCTGACAAGTTGACAACAACTGTCTGGAAAATGTGAAAATTAGCAAAGCGCATGCGCGAAGAGGTGTGGCATAACATCATGGCCAAAGCTTACTGCAAAGAAAGATTCTTCTTTCTAGATCCTCTTTCATAGCTGGCTGTTAGTAGATCTTCAAGACTCGGAGCTAAGAGAAGGAAAGAGAACCATTTAGGTAATGTGTCTACTGACAGTGCGGTAGCTCTACCTGCGGATGACACTAGTGAGCCGCCGCCAGGTGCCATGGACAGTGAACCTGTTGAGAATTATGGACTGGATGAGTCGTCTTTGGAGCAGTTGAATGCTGAGGGCAATGTGGATTTAACGATCTTGTCTCAGACTGCAGAGAGCGAGTAGATGATGTAAGGCAAGAGGTTGAGAATGATCCGGCATTAATCGAAGAAGCTGAAGTTTCTCTTACAGACTTTGAAGATAATAGGGATGATGATCAAGATTTAGATAAAGATGACAATTTAGATGTAAATAATGATCAATTTCCAAACTCTATGAAGGTTCAAAGCTCACTATTAAATCAAGTTGTGTACTGATGTTGCAATTCAAAATGAGACATCAATTGACTGAACAAGCACTGGCTGACCTACTTTATCTTGTAAAACTGCATTGTCCTCAACCTAAACACTGTATATCTTCACCATTTTTTTTAAAAAGAGCTCTGTGGCCTTCACTACCCATCTATTCCTGACTACTTTTGTAGTGCATGTTATGACACCTTAGAAACTGACACTATAGCGGTCTGTTCTAACTGCAATACTATTTTAACTGCTAAAGGATCTGTGTCATCATTTATTGAAATTCCTCTTGATTTGCAATTACAAACAATTCTCGAGCGTAAGTATAATATTGTATTCCAATAATGTACATGTATATGCATTCACTTATGGGTGACACAACAATTGCCACTTTACTTGAGTATAAATCATTGATTAAGAGCAGAAGTCATGATACAAGTTATAGAGATGTGCACGATGGGGAAGTATATAAGGAAAATCTCACAAACGGATTTCTTGCCTATGAAAATCACATTTCGTTCACCCTTAATACAGATGGAATCCCAGTATTTCATTCATCTGGATTATCTTTTTGCCTGTATTTTGTACATCTCAGAATGAATGTTCTACAAATAAACAAAAAATAAAACAAATAAATAATTTTTAAAAATAAATATAATTACAAGTATACCTCCATTGCTATTTGAAACCCATAGAAACACCTAGCTTCAGTTACCTGTACCTCAGAGCTAAACCTCTCGACCTAACAGGACAAGAATAAAAATAATTATTAATTAATTAATTAATAATAATAATCATACCAGGTTTTCATTGACAATTCCATCACTAGCGGCAAAGAATGCTAACACGTGTTTAATGAAATAACGCTCCTCCTCCTAATTAATAATAATTAATTAATTAATAATTAATTATCATTAATGAGCTTCCATATAGAATGAGGTTTACATTTAACAAAACCCATAGTGACTTATACTGATGTGTATTAATATTGTAGAATATCAAGAGGATATTATAATATTGGCTGGACTTTGGTATGGTCCTACGAAACCTGATATGTCACATTTTTTAAAGCCTACAATGCACTCAATAAAGTACATTTATACTCAAGGTCAGTATCACACATTAAATGAAGTCAATGAATGTTATCACTTAACATGTAGGTCTTCAAGTCTCACCTTCTTTAATAAACAGTTTTGTTTGTCGAGCTACACTTCTTTGTGTCACTTGTGATTTGCCAGCAAAAGCTTTAGTGATGAATTGCATGCAATATAATGGATTTTATGGTTGTTGTCACTGCTTGCAGCCAGGTAATAAATATTGTAGTATTGTCTTAACTACTATTTTATTGAATTGTGTTAAATGATTAACTCAAAAATGTTTATTGGTGTATTATGAGAAACTTTTCGAATTGGGCCAAATAGCTGCATTCATATATATCCATATA